CTTGGGGTTACGGGCCGGCGTTGTTCCAAGCTGTTTCAAGTTGGTCCAACCGTTCAGTGCTCGAGCGTCGATGCATGGCTAAGCCATGCCGGTCATTCAATCTCCGGAGACGGTGTTTCTTTGGCAGCTCTACGGCAAGTATGAACGGTCAGAACTATACGGTGCAGCCAGACACTATGGTATTCCCGAGCCATCGTGGCCAGTGAGCCTGCAGCATGGCACCGATTATTTCCTTCCCTACCTCACGGCGCTTATTGCACTCAGACTCGGCGACTCGCTCGACGTGCACGCATCCTATCAGTATTATCAGGTCCTCTATCTGATCATCATCACCAGTCGCAGAATCCTCAACATGCCGATGGTCAACAAGCAACTGTCTATGTGGGCCGAGTCACTGTCCACGCTGCTCATGGTTCATCACTACGGTCGTCCCACGCATGCACTCACGGAACTCAGACGCCGACTACGACGTTTACGTATCCACCCGAACATGTACACCTTCACCCACTTCTCGCAGCCCAATGCAGTGTACTGGAAGCAGCGAGTCGAACTCCGCCCGGACCTTCCACACTCCGTCAACCCGCAGTCGGACGTATACATTGGAAGCACCAGCATCACTTATCCTAGTCGAGAACACAATCGTAGGGCCAAGTTACTGGGTATTCAGCACGGACAATTCATCAATGCGGAACCAGCGCTCAGATGGTGGCACCACTTCGACAACTATGACGAGTTTGCTACATGGGTCATCCTGACAGACCCCGACCACAGGGTCACCTGGACCCAGGAACATGCCTTGATCAGCATTTATCAGCCGTCGCTCAATTGGCCCTATATTCATCGGCGATACAAGCGCATCTCCACCGGCTATACGGCCACCAGGTTTCTTGCAGAACAGCCCTGGTCCAGGTTCGGCAAACGCCTTTTCCTCCGTTTGCGCAGGAGGAGCTGCACTGTCTATGGCAGGAACTTCCATCGAGTGGCGCTCAAACACACCCAAGCCTGGTCCATCATTGCTCGCCTCACCTCGGAGCACATTGAATCCTGGGAGGAGGAAAAACGACTTCGTAGTGGACGGCATTCAGACTTGGATATCTATGCTATACACAGGTTGTCTGGCAATGTGGAACAGCCTCATCGGCATCGAGTTCGGAACATTCTGCGAAGAGTTCTTGATTTCCGTCAACTTCAGCAACCCAAGATCAATTTGTTATTGCGATTACCGTGGCTGTCCCATCCACATTATCAGCGGTCCACCAGGGAAGTACTTCGTCGGCTCGTCCTCGACCACCGCAACTGGGCCCTTCCATTTCACTGGCCCAGTACGAAGTTGGCAGAGACCCCTCATCCTCGGGTCCATACGGTCATGTGGAACTTCTCGTCATTTCAGGACTGCTGCCTCCTGACATTTCCTGGACCATCATCGTGTCAGTGCGCAGCCTGGCTAAAACGTCAGCCCTGGCTATCTCACGTTCAAGGCCATGTGGCCGCGGGATTAGATGAGTTCCGGTTTCCGGGAACCCCTCAGCACGTTCATTACACCTCAGCGCTGGCGTCGTATTATGTGGACCTCTCAGTTTACGAAGTGCAAGTTCATGAACGCCTACGAAAATGGTGTTTGCACCACGGCCTGCCCCTGGACCAGTTCCACGCACCTCTCATGGAGCACCTACGCAGTCAATTTCAGAAACATCGGCAGCACGCGTCCACCCATCAGCTCCTTACCAAGCACCAACTCAACATCCTGCATCGACACCTCGGCCAGGATTTTGTATGCCACAACGAGGATCACGACAACCACCACCTCATGTTCTTCTGCCCTCAGCTCTACTTCAAAGGCCTCCACAACACCTGGCTTCAGTCCGGCACATTTGCAGCTACTCCACTGAAGCCCGATCAAGCGGGGCTCTTATTGTTGAAGCTATTCCGCGGCACCTGCAGAAGAGGTACAAATGGGCATACAGGAAGAAGACCACCGCCATCCCGGTCGGAAAAGTTTTTCTCAAACGCAAGAAGCAATGGAAATCGGGGCGGACTATTATAGCCTACCATAAGGTGGTACATCGGCAGCTCTTGCTCTTCAAAGCGGTTGCAATCCTCCTCGGCGAGATCGCAGCGGTTACATGGAAGTGTTCATGGGGGATACACCCCACGCCGAGGATATGGCAGAACGTCAAACATTACTTTGACAACACAGACGATACAGTCACCCTTGCATTCCACAATGACGATTTGGTCGGCTTCTTCAACAGTGTCCCTCAGGATCAAGTGTGCGCAGCAGTCGAGCAGCTATTAGCAGAGCACCAGCGAGGGCATCCCGGTCTCATCTATTCAGTGGAAACTCAGGCAGCTGTCCACTACAATCGGGTGTTTGCGGGCAAGCAATCCTACGGACGTACGCCGACCACGCGGGTCATTTACGTGGAGGACATCCTGGGTATCGTCAAATCCAGCTTCCAATGCATGTATGTCCAGGTGGGAACTCTCATTCTGCGCCAAGTCCACGGGACGGCGATTGGTTCTCAGCTGAGCCCAGTTCTCAGCCACATCTGCGTCGCGAGGCACGAAGTTATTTGGCAGCGTATCTACGGACAATGGTTAGTCAGTCACAATATCTTTTTGGAGCGATATGTGGACAACAGATTTGTCATCTTCCCGTCTCCGGCCTCCGGTCACCCAGCAGCTCCATTGGAGGCTCTGCTTCAAGCTGACTTTTACGGCGCCCCCATCGTGTTGGAACAGGTGGGATCTTCTGAGTTCCTCGGCTTCGTCATCGATGTGGGCGACCGGGCGATTTACTACAAAACCCCAACCAAAATCTGGCAGATCAGAGGACCCCACACTGCTGGAAGTCTCTCCACCCTTCTCTCCGGGGCCAGATCACGGTCAGCCCTCGCCACCAAGTACGCGCACCCGGCCAGAGCAGTACAGATGGTCTTGGATCAGCTCCGCAGTACTTATCTGTCCGCCGGCTACAAGTCAGCTGACCTGCAGCACCTGTTTCATCTTCCGGCGATCCCAACCAGAAAGAACGTTTAAGTGCCGGTTGTCGCTGTTTTTCGATGTTTGGCTTTGTGGCTCGTTTTTGTCCTTTCGGTCTTTCTCCGGACCTGGTCCGGCTCGTTTTGGCTTTTGCGTTCGGGTGTTCTTCTTCTTCTTTTTGGTTTCTGGGGTTTTTGACTCTTGTGTTGATCACGGAGCTCGTTCGCTGGTTCAAGAAGTGTTGGCCTTCTCGCCGATATCGGAGAGCGGTCGCCATGCTCGGGCGCATGATAGCACTTCACCACCGTATGACCCAGAACGCTGCGGACATGATGCAGCTCATCCAGGAGACCTTGAATCAGGCTGATGAGGCACACAGTCGCCGGTACCATGACGGGCAAGGTCGCTTGCGGCAACAACATGTCCGAGGCCTGTCGCTGGCAGAATCATCGCGACCACGAGCACCTGATCATGCTGGATTCGATGAGGTAGACCGGTCTATAGCCTTGTTGGTGTCCCCCGTGATGATGCCGTAGGACAACGACTTGGGGTTGGCCAGCGCGTTGTGCCTGTGGTCCGCGTGTAGCTGGAGTGACTGGAAGCCGACTGGTGGCGGAGGGTCGGTCGGAGTCTCTGAATTGACTGAATTCAGCATCAGCCTATGCTGGTCAGCCGAGCATCAAGAAGACCAATATTCCCCGCTCCATCATGGACAAGAAGGGCACTGATCGATGCCGAACTAAGCGGAAGAGATGCCGCGCTACATCTTCCAAGAACACGAACTCCCCGGAACCTCCGGCGCCTCCAGCATCTCGCACTCCAGCACCTGCTCCGGGATCTCCTTGCGCTGGACTGTTCTCCTCTCCTGAATCTCTTCCTGAACCTCCTGCTCATGCTCACTCCGATGCCGGCAACCCCGGGACGCCCCCGGAAGTACCTCGGGCATGGACAGAAGAAGATGACCAGCAGCTCTGCAGCTTGAAGGGAGACAGCCGGTCCAAGTACTCGTACAAGTCGCTGGCCAAGAAGCTCAACCGGTCCATCGCGGATGTCACGCAGCGCTGGAAGAGTCTGGAGCGCCTCAGGAAGGTGAAGGAACAGCATCAGAAGGCCGCCTGAACTTAGGCAGTGAAGCCACATGTCAAAATGGCCGCAAGTAGGCGAGCGCAGGGAGGAGTTCAAAAAACCGACCAAAGCACCCATCGGGAATTATGATGGAGGCGGCTTTCAGAACTTGGCGTTCTCTCTGAGTGTTCAGGTTCGGGCTGTTCTGTTTCTGTCTCCCCCTGCGGGGTGTGTGTGTGTGTGGCCCCCCTGTTCCTAAGGGGTTTTGCGGTCGTGCCTTTCTCTTTTTGGAGTCGAATGCCACCTTGCTGGATGTCTCAACATGAAGTAGTGTCACCTACCGATGGCGTTCCTGAAGAGGATGGTCGGTGGCACGAAAGATGTTTGAGCATGCAGTAAGCCGAAACTCCATTGCCCTGCCGGAGACCTTCAAACAGCCTGTGCCTGCATGGGGATGCGCACTGTCAGTTTCGCCGTCTCATATCAAGTGTGTGTGTGTGTGTGTGTGTAGAAAAGCGTTGTGCACATTGTCAATGGTACACACGGGCTGCAAAAGTTTTTATTTTTCTAGTACGTTTCTAGCATAGTGTCTACATACCTAAAAGTTTCGGAACCCCAACAACTAAGGTGGCATCGCTGCGGGAGATGACAGGTGGAGAGGCCTGGATTTTGTGGAGAGGCCTGAGAACATCCTTTCGCCACCATGAAAAGCTGAGCCATTTCGAAGACCAGTCATCACGAACTTCCAATTGGCTATACCGGTCAAGCCTCTGGATCAGAACCTCAGCCATGCACATTTGCGGGCCAGCCGAGCGGGCCGACTTCAGGCGACCTGTGATTTGCGTAGCTGCTGCAAGGCATAAAGCTGCATGCGGAACAGCAATTGCATTTCCTATGATCTTCATCAGGCGAAAACATGTGCCAGTCGATCGCAACAAGTAGGGGCATTTGAACGGTTGCATTCCTTTATCTTTGATTGACAAGCCCACAAGCGTAGAAGCGCAAGGGCACAGTGAGAGAGGCTCCCCATAGATCCCTTTGGTGCAAATCAGATCCCAGGGCTATGGGACTCTGAGCGGACAGGTGATTTTTAACATGCTGGTGGAGCACGGCGTTGACACTGTCTTTGGATACAGTGGTGGCACGCCCGCCAGATTCGGCACCAGCAACAAAAGCATGGCGTGTGAGTTTTCCAGCCAGGGAATGTGTGCCATTGAGTGCAGATTTTATCACCCTTGTGATTGCAAGAGGTTTTGATCGTGCAGAAAGTGGAAGTGGCTTCGTTGCCATGCTACGCTTTCCAGCAAACTGGCCAAGGCGCCGTTCTTCCACTGATTGACGCGTTTCACGGCAAGAACATCAAGTGGATCACATCTTCGCATGAACAGTCCTCTCCTCAGCTAGAGCAGCTGTCCTAGCATTTTCATTGGGCCGACCTTTAGAGACAATCGATGGCTTCGTTTTGGCAAGGTGCAGTGGGCATTCAGCAGCCGCGTACGCCAAATCCACTGGCAAGTTTGGGGTGGCCAGGCTCCCAGTCACTTCTGTTTGACTCCAGCTGCTACTTGCCCGCGGTTGGGGGATTCTTGGGGAGGGGCGTCAGCAGGAAGCGCACCGACCATGAAGGGCATGCGCATCAACCAAGTACAAATCAGGATCAATCAAAGTAGTGACTCAGACACTTTCTTTCCTGGACGCATGTGAAGGGTTCTTCTTCTAAAACGGCGGCAAACTTGGCAGGGCAAACATCTCCTGCCAACCTCTCCAGTGTTTCTCTTTTGCTGGCGTTGCATCTCCTGCTAACTTCTTTGATGCTACTCCATTGCTGAGTTTATCCCCTATGATACCCTCCCACCAATAAATATGGAACTTGACAGGTCCCCTTTAAAAGAAAATGGTTTTCCAGCACCCCCCCCTGTCAGGTTTCATGTCAATTGATGGGAGAGTAAAAACACAAGTTAGCTTTCTTCTCTACCTTCTCTGAGTTTGGGTTCTTGGGAGCCATGGAAACACACCCCTTCATAGAAATCAAGCCGGTTGATGTGCAAGAGTCCGAGTGTTTTGTAACGATTGCTTGATCCCGGCGAACCCTATGCCGCAAAGTCTGTGCCCACCTTGTGAAGGTGCTGCCTGAAAGTGCTACGCCTGCCAGTCTGCGCCCGCCAGACCTTGCAAAAACGCCGTGCTTGCCACACAATCTTGTGACGCGCAAGCGTTGTGTCTGCCACGAAATCTGGGCCTGACCTTGCTCAAGTGCTGCGCGTGGCGCGAAATGCTACTACAGCTGCTGCTGCTGCTGCTGCTACTATTGCTACTACTTCTGCTACTACTACTACTACTACTGCTACTACAGCTGCTGCTGCTACTACTACTACTTCTGCTACTACTACTACTGCTACTACTATTGCTACTACTACTACTACTACTACTAGTATTATTGCTACTACTACTAGTACGCAACTACAGCTGCTGCTGCTACTACCACTACTACTTCAGCAACTACTACTACTACTGCTACTATTACTATTGCTACTACTACTACTGCTACTACAGCAGCTGCTGCTGCTTCTGCTTCTGCTACTACTACTTCTGCTACTACTCTACTACTACTACTACTACTACTACTACTACTACTACTACTACTACTCTTGCTACTACCACTACTGCGATACAGCTGCTGCTGCTACTACTTCTTCTACTTCTGCTGCTACTACTACTACTACTACTACTACTATTGCTACTACTACTACTACTACTACTGCTACTACAGCTTCTGCTGCTGCTGCTGCTACTACTACTACTTCTGCTACTACTACTACTACTACTACTACTTCTGCTACTACTACTACTTCTTCTGCCACTGCTACCGCTACGACGACTACTACTACTACTACTATTACTACCACCAGTAGTAGTACTATTACTAGCACTACTACTACTTTTCTTGCTACTTCTACTCCTACTACTACTACTACTGCTACTGCAGCCACTACTGCTACTACTACTATTACTGCTACTACTTCTGCTACTACTTCTGCTACTACAGCTGCTGCTGCTGCGCCACCATCACTACTACCAGTACCGCTGCAAGTACTACGACTACGTACTACTACTACTACTACTACTGCTACTACTGCTACTACTACTACTACCACTACCACTACCACTACCACTACCACTACCACGACCGCCGACTACTACAAACTTGCTGGCCGCTGATTCGAGGCCATCGTGACGAGCGGGCCAGGCCTGACAAACCTGGTAACCCCAATGCAGGCAGGGGGCAGATGGCGCACTACGAAAGTTTGAGTCACGTAGGCGCGTCGCGCCATTGATGACGATCTCTGGCATTGACGCAGCCATTCCGCTCAGGACGCACTGACAGATGGCGTGCCCATGGTTATCTTCTCAGGTCAGGTGCCCACGGGCGCCATGGGCACCGATGCCTTTCAGGACCAGCCGGTTCTGGCTGGCATGCGTGGTGTAGCACCAGATTTCGTTTGGAGGGCTTTGGGCTTTGTCTGCAGCCATGTTAGCAGCTGTCGACTTCGTCAAGGGTTTGACACAAGGAGCAGAGATCATTTTGAGCCTCGCTCGTCACCTCCAGCTTGTGGCAAACGTTAAGCTTCATAGTCGACGTTGGCCACAATCTACCTTTCGATCGCTTTCGATTGTGTTGCGTTGAGCAGATGAGCCAACAACCGACACCAGCTCAGCACGGGTTTGGGTCAGACCATGCCTGTCAGCGCTCGCTGTGCCTGTGCTTGGCGCTGGGGAGCTTAGTCCCTGTGAAAATCCTTCCGAAGCATCCCCTTCAGATTTGCACCGCGGAAGCGGGCTAGGCTTTTTCAGATTGAACACGAGCGAACCGTTTCCGGAATGATGCTTCTTGCTCCAAGGATAGATGGCAGCCAGCAGAAAAACAGCTTCAGGCATGTTGCTGCTGAGAGCATGGGTTGCAGTAATGGCTTTCCGAAGTGCATCACAACATATCAGAACCGTTTCAGGTTGCCAAGGTTGTGACCCTGCTGCATTGCAGGCAGACGATGTCTCTGTGCATGGAGGTGGGAAGCTCTGTCTCCAGCTGCAATTGAATGCAGCTCCAGCTTGCTCTGAGCATGTGAGAACTCCTGACAGCTTGTCACCACTTGGCAAGGCTGGATTTTGACGGTTTTCCCAAGCTTGGCATGTGACAGCAAATCATGGCTCTCAACACGGCGATGTTGCTGGGACTTACTTGTACCAGAGCAGTCTTGCCCGGGTAAGGACGCATGTGGAAACGCGCTGCTTACTTACCCTGATTAGGTGAGACCTTCACTGCTGGCTTCTTTTCTGATGCTTTCTGCTACTGAGGCGCGTGGCAGTGGACCAGTTTCTTTTAGAGTCTGCTGACGTCGTTGGATTCACTTTGCGCAACTGTGCAATAAAAACAACAGCAATTGCCAGCTGTGCTGACTGTGAACATAATTTGATTTTCACGGGCCAGCCCCTTCAAATCAAGATTCCTGATGCGTCATGATTCGTTCGATCGAGAATTGTTGATTATGAATTCGAAGAGTACTCAGCCAGGAAAGCGGCAAGGCCCAGCCCTCAGAGCTCAGGTTGTGTCCTTTTCGGCCCGTCCATAGTGGTGCTCCATGTTTTGCGTTTCAATTTCAGCAAGCCGCAGTAAGCCCCACTCCCGGTCCCTCAAACAACATTAGCAGCAAAGAAGAGCAACGCTTCAAGGCTAACCAAAAACTGCCTACCCACTTCAGCAACATGCCGAGACCCAGATTTTTTGTGGCATCGGCCAGCCTTGAAGCCCAAGGGGTGAGAGCGCTGGGAAGTCCAGGAAGCTTCATGTCGCGTTTCATCCGAGCGCAGAGCACACACACACACACTTGTGTCGTCAGCATGAAACACTTGCACATGGAACACTTGCACATGGAGATCCGCATGCGCTGCAGAGGATCACACACATCGACACCAAAACAAAGCAACAGCTCCCAGAACATCGACACCGAAAAAAGAAGCAACAGCTCCGGAAAACAGAGCCGAACAGGAACCAGCGGTCCAACACAACCTCCACAATCCGGCAGGATGTCGATGAGGTAGCCTCAAAGGCAACATTGTTGATAACACTTGAATGCAGGTGCGTCATGCGTCAGCACTGCGTCCAGTGCTGATATCCTAGACTGAATCCTGGAGCTTCGTTGGCCCATGCCAGGAAACAGACCCATGGGCCCCCTGCTATAAAATTCGCTCGGCTGTCTACGTTCGGCACATTCCCAAAAAAAGGTCCAAACCACTCTGCTGAGCCTTCAGGCCTGCTGCTGGCTCTACTCTAAGCTGCGAATAGTGGACTGCGCCCCTTGGACAAGCCAACTGGATTTCCCCTCACCGCGCGCCTCATGCGACGCGCAGACCACTATTTTCCATGGCTGGGCCGTCTTCAGCATCCCAGCATGTTTCACAGGGCGCGATGGGCATTTTTACAATTTCCCGAAACAACCTCGCTTGAATTGGTTTGGGAAGCCGGGTGGGTCAAAGTGCATCTGGGCGTTGGCCCGGCATTCTGCCACTATTGAATGGCGTCAAACAGAAAACCAAAACACTGTCAAAACACAAAACAGAAAACGGCACGCAAGCAACAGTCACAAAACATCACGGTCAACATCATCTCATCATCATAATGGGGCCTCATCCCCTGCGGCGACCTTAGTGCGACAGGCAGGCAAGCAGGCAAGCAACAACAAGCAGCAGCATCAGCAACATCATCTAGGGGCCTGATCCCCAGTGGAGACCTTAGTGCGACAGTTGAGTTGCGCATGTATGCTGCTACATCACGTTTGATTCAGTTGGCTTCCTTTTGGCCTTTGCGAGAAGAAAGCTCTGTTACTCTGCACGCTGCTGGTGCACGTGCGGTGTTGCAGCCCGAATTTTCTTGGTCACAGGCAACCACTCTGCGGGATACCCTTGCTCAAGATAAAACCGCCTTAAAAGCAGGAGGTCTTTCCGCACTTGCTCGGCTGAAGCTTGCGTGGCCAATATCAACCATGTTCAGAAAACAACCCCGACAGCGAAGCGTGGGTGTCACACCAAAGCTGCTCCGAAACCCCGACTACCAGCGCGCGCAACGCTGGGCTCAAAGGCGAGCCCTTGGGTGTACCACGCACCTGTTGAAACGTGGCCCCACCCACCGAAAAGCTGCAGGCAATGATATCAGGAATGTCTTGTATTTGAATGGATCGCTCCAGGTTGGCTTTTCGTCTTCTCTTGCCTCTCCAAACTCGGAGGCTTTGATCTTGTGCTTTGGCAGAAACCGAGAAGTGAGTGTGAGAAGCATCGGGGTTCCTGTTCTGATACCTTTTCCAAACGATGTGCCATGCCGCCAAATCTTTCTGGTGGAGCACTGTGGTTGTGCACAAGAATTTGCCCTGTTTGAAGGCAGAGAAGCGTACAAACATTGGTTTTTGGCAAAAACCTGTGGGCACATTGTCTCTAGAACGCTGTGGATGACCTGCGCAGCTGCTTCCAGCACTGGTCGGAAAAAAACCACCCGCGAATGAAACAATGGGTCGCCCTGTTGCCCACTGCTTCTTGCGCTTGGCAAGAATGTACCCTTGCGCTGCCTTTCCGTCAGCTCGGCATGCCCGCTCGTATGTGGCACGAAACCGTTGTCGAATAGATTGCTGTATCTGGGCCTGAACATCATGAATAGGAGCCGCCAATTCGCGAAAATTGTCGAATTTCTGAAGGTGCCATCCAACATTGCAAAGTAAAGGACCTTGCAGAACACCACACAGCGGTTGGGGTGGTGATCTTCGCAATGTATGATCACGCCTTGAAGAATTCTTTCAACACCTGCAATATTTGCCCGACAGATACTGGCCACGCATGGCAACATGTACTTGCCAGCATTCAGAGAAAACAGTGGCAAGTCGGAAGGTCGCGGCAAACAGCTGCGTGCAGCCCACATCCGCCAGCCTGCTTTGAAACTGGTCTGCATCTGCGCTCGCCCAGAAAAAATGCATTCTTCATGGAGCCAGCGATCAGTTCTCCCATGGATGCAAGTTCCATACCTGACACGGCTAAATGATTGCAGCCGTCCCATTCTTGTTGCATCAGCTTGGCAAGTTTGGCACAGTGGCAGACCGGCATCTGTCTGGCCGCCCACCTGGACCTAGCCTTCCTCCAATTAAACAACACTGTGTTAACCATCGGATGTTTAATCCCCTGAATGTGTTCCCGAATGTAGCTTCTCATATGCTGTTGAATGATCGCCTTGCATCCCATGAGGTCAGCTAGGAATGGTGACTGCAACGGCCCGGCTGGCCGGGGAAGGAGGTCTCTTGTAAAGACCATGGCCCTGCGCATGGCAGAGATTGCAAACGAATTCAATGGTTCAAATTGCGCGAAATACGCCACAGCAAACATCTAGCCGCCTAGGTGAAGTCCCGGCCGCGAATGACTTTCTCTGCTTGAAATCTTCGCTCTTGGTTGGACGCCAGGACGCAAATCAGCTGCCAGATGTTTACCTTGGAGGACAGCTGAGGGGTGTGAAACACCGTGTTCAGCTTCCACTGCAGTTGACGTCGACGGTGCTTCTTCCACACCGAAGACATGCCATTGGTGGAGCTGCCCACATTGCTGCTACAAAGAAGTCCCTTCGAGGGGGTGGAAATCTTGCTGATGAAAGGATAGTTCAGTTTCGGATGAACCATTTGAATATGAGTGGCCTCCGTGGGCAGGAATTGTTCCTGAGCAACGCCGACGCATAGAGGAGCGCAGCTGTAATGAAAAAACAACCAAAATGTTTCCAGAATCTGGGTTGCTCTCTCGACAAGATTGCGTGGCTCCAACGTACATCTTACCTTGGCAGGCCGGGAGTGTGCAAAACCGGAGGTATACCGCCTGACGAGCTTCAAAGCGCCTGCCAAGAGTTGCCGGAAACAGCGAAGAAGATTCTTACACTCTTGCACACGCTTGGCTGCCATTGACGTGAACGTGCGCCGCAGGCTTCACATGTGGTGGATCGCCGATGTTGCGGCGAATGCCTGTGTCCGATTTGCTCAGCGCAGCGGCTTGGTTGGCAGCCTGTTTTGGCGCCAAGGCGGCTTGCGTCTCTGCAAGCTTTTCTTCCAGCTGCCTGATCTGTCTTACGCTGTTGGGTCCGCTGCTGTGGTGGGTAAAAAGGTCAGGAGGTGCCATGACAGATCGCTTGTCTGTAGCTTCACTGCCGGCTTTGATTGCTGCCCGCAGGGCAAGGGAATCCAAGTCAACCCGTCGCTGACGCAAATGTGTTAAAGATGCCTGCTATTGCGGCTTCCTACGAGTCTAACCTCATTGCCATGGCAGAGGCTCCGTAGCCACCAGCTATCCCATCCTTCGTGGACCATATGCAAAAGTCGGAAGCGTTGATACCTAGAAGGCCCGCAGATCATTGGGTATAGTGAAGGCATTCCGCATTG